ATTAAAGGGTAGATCTTATTTCATGCTTGTTTTGACAGGTGCTGATTCAATTCAATCACGTAAATAATAGGTAATTAAGAATTCAGAAATCACATTGAGATCACCTTCCTAAAATAGAGACATAAGATTTTTCTCGATAACCTTCCAAAAACAAATCAGATATTCCCCATAAAATTTTATATCTAGTCTAGTCACAAATTTCTTTTTTATTAACACAGCACAGGCACATGCGTTTATATACACACGCATACACTCATCCCTATGCACACCCTACCCTTATGAGCGCCTCCAAAAGACTGAGCCGACATATCACCTTGAAATTTACGAAGTCACCGTAGACACCTCGTCGTCAACCGGAACGTCTCCTCCCACTGAATGCGTATCGCCAGAAATCCTGAGAACCAGGACTTGAACCCTGGTGGGCTGGGGATACAACAGTCCCTCTAACCATCCAAGCACAGGTTGATTCGCCCAGTCACAAGTTTCCTAATACAATAAAAATAACATATTTTTTCTTATGGGCGTACACATCGGCGCGCCCTGCAAAGGGATGCCATGCGCGACACCTTCAAGGACGCCATCGCCGGGCCTAAAACCTGCGTGATGTCGAAAAAGCTAGTGCATGGATTCGAGAATGGTCGTGGTGGAAGGCGAGTCATCGGACAAACACGTACAAACATTTGTGGATGCGGTCATATTATATTTCTTTTCAGTCATACAGAGAGTTAGACAGGCTACGTTCTCAAATCAAGTGTGTCCATTCAAATGTCAAGAAATTCGTTAAGAAAATGTGTCCTACAATACTCGGTAGTCGTCATCATTCATCGCATCCATTCATGTGAAAATATATTGAAAATCAAGCGTTGAATCAATTTGGTAATCGGACCATTTAGAAAATTAATTAACTCACACTGAATCAATTTGAAAATCAATTTAGTATGCAATTAATTAAGTACAATTAAACCAGATTATTTTCGCGTTGAATCAATTTGAAAATCAAGTCATTAATGCAATTAATTAATTAGGTAGACAGTTAATTTTGCCTATAGATAATTGGAGGTAAGGATTTTTTTCTAATTAGGCAGATAATTAATTGATTTGGTTGGTAAATAATTAAGCATGCAGAGAATTAAGTAGGCCGTAAATTATTTGTATACTTAGTTAATCATGCAAGTAGTTAATCACGCTGAATCGTTTGAAAGCGCTCGTGGGCAACAATCTGACCAATAGGCTCTCAGGGACATGGCCGAACACCGCTTGCCAACATGGACAACGGGCACCATGCGCTCGCGATATGGGTGACCTAGCGTTCACCAAGAGATGGATGATGACCATATTGCTCTACAAGATGTCCACATGCTGATGGTTGCCGACACGTTCGCGGAGGAGGACAACACGACACAACATTGGTCGACGGTTCATGCTTTAGGAGAAAGAAAGAGTGTTCCAAGAATAAGAAGTTAAAAAAAAAGATCTAAAGCCAACAAGTGGTCCATGGTGTTGGAGAAGAAAAGAGTGTTTCAAAAAATAAAACAAAAAAAGAAAGAAAGATTATTCTAGAAAATAAGTAGGAACGAGAACTAAAACTGACGAGGAAGGAGGAAGAAGAAGATGAGGCGTCACTAACAAACACACTAATGTTGACATGGTACTAGTTGGCGCCAACGAAACAGGTTGGCAAGGAGGCTATGAGTAGAAGATGTACGGAAAGACGAGGAAGAGAAAAACAACAATTATGCCTTATAGCAATGAATGGTATGTGGGTTGGAGGTGCAGCTTATTGGTTTGGTAACTAGGAATACATTCAGGTTGCCACTCGCCTCCAACGTCATTGTGCATTTGCAAAGTTGAATGGACCTTTAAAAATGATTTGTATAGTTATTTGTTGTTTTGTGTTGATAGTATGTGTTAGTTTAACCCATTTTATTATATTGTAAATATGAAAGATTTCACCTCTGTTGCAATGCTGTGGGTGTTATCTGATTTTAAAAGAGGTGGCTCCAGCGAGAAATGTCCCGCTATGGCGGGAAACTGAGAGGGAAGGGGAGGGCCCGACAGAAAAAGGAAATGATGCATCGTCGGGTGGGGTTTTGTGTCAGGCTCGGGGTGTTGCAAATAACATGGTGAATAGCCCAGAGCAATGCACGTGCGTTCTGCTAGTATATTATGGGACAGAGGGAGTACTTCACTTCAGAGTGGATGACGTTTAAACCACTTCACAAATGGGTCAAATCATGGCCAGGCTGATCACTCCATGTTTTGTTTCATACGGCATTATTTTTTCAAAACGGAGGCAAACGAATTGCCTCATCGACTAATTAAGAAGAAGAGAATTGCTTAGTTAATTTATGGAAAACCGAACTAAAATCGATACAATCAGACCATAATTGGACTACTAATCAATCATGAGACCCCACGGGCACACCTGCAACCCGCCAAATCCTCCCAAAACACAATAACTCCTAACACTTGTACACCACAATTCAAGCCGACAAGAACATCCCAACAAAAGATAGTGGACCACATCAAAACCACAATAAAAACCAAACCGTGAGGACGAGCCGAGGGACCGAGAATCATCCATTAAGCAGATGCGGGCGCCTTGCCTATAACGCCACTCTTCTTGCCTTTGCACCTTAGTGACTTCTTCTTCACTATACCGGTCCGAGGGCAATCACTCGCCTTCTTGCATTTGCCCCTGAATGTCGTCCCGGTGGTCGACTTATTTCCCATTCGAAGCAGCAGCAGTATTGACGACCCTAACTAAAATGCGGTCGATGCTTGGTCATTTGCTTCATGAGAACTGTTTTTAGGGAATATATATGCACAGATATCAGTAAGATATATCTTTTCACTGTTATTAGGTCACATAAAAGTTGAAAACCGTAGCCTAACCTTTCCTGCTAGAGGGCTAGTTACTTAAACGATGTTGCACGCACTTTTTTTTTTTGAGGGACACGTTAAACGTACAAATAATATGGAAAAAAGCTGTGGTTTATGTACTACCAACAAGGTTAAATATAACATGTAAGCAAAATATATCAGCTGGAAAATGATGCGGAACTGCTCCTCAAAACCAGTCGTAAGCAACAGTAGCAGAACTAAAAGGAGCTATGACAAGCAAGTGAAGCTTGAACTACAAAAACGCCTTGTATTATGGTACAGAGGTAGTAACACTGTAGCTACACTGAGGGCTAAAACATCATCACTTTTGCGTCCGATGTCGGAACAAGCACAGCTCATGATTCTCAGAAGAAAAAAGTATATCTAACAGAAGGTATTTGCATACACATCCGTACATGCAGGCTTGTATATAACGCACGGTTCGCGCACATGCCCAGGCAAAAGGGAGCATTGCTTCATTACTTGATATATGCCATCAAAAGAACAGAAAAACAGCCAGTCTAAGTGAACTAGCCAAATATAGTTGCAGTGCAACCGCCATCCATGCATTACAAAATAAGCCTCCGTATGCAAATTATGCCCTGCATTCGATCCAACGAGAAGCCACTGCTGTTAGACGTAATTGAAACATCTGCCTTTGAGACCTACAAGACAAAAGGTAACTATGCTGAAAAGGCGAGCGTGCAGTTTGGTTCAAATGTCAGTCCATGAATGAGCAAAACTACACTAACATGTTAAGCTCCAACCAAGGAATGTGGTTCAAGAACAGACACTTCACTGGGCACAAGCGTTGGCATGGCATATGGATGTGTAAATGTTAAGTCACAAGTATTGAGCATTCGCCTATCAGTTTGCATGCTATGCAAGACAGCAGAAAAATAATGTAGCTTCAGTGAGTTTTGATTTATTAGTAATACAACTCAGACGTCATAATCCAACTGGTTTAAGTGGTGTCTTTTTCTCAGTCTCATAGATCAGGTAATTATGGAAAGAATCAACTTCCCACCGCAGCAATATGTTTAGATTCTAGTCAACCTAATTATATGATATCCTTAAATAAACTCGAACTTATATTATCGTTGCATCTACGTTACAATCATGAGAGGAAAAAAATACCCGATAGGGTTGTGTACCATGTCATGCTACCAGCACCTTTTAGCAAAACTGGCACATCGCACCATCTATTTAGGCATGACATGGGAGCCACACCAAATTGATGCTTTCCCCTTAGACTTGACGGTAGTGGCAGGGGAGGGGGGGGGGGGCGTTTCTGCTATAGTGGATGACTCAATTGCTCATGTTTAGGTCAATGCTAGAGGTGGATTGGGCTACGGCATTTGCGACGCTGAAAGAGGGGTCAATCACGATATTCAGTTGCCATTTGTAACAGAACAGAGGATGAGATTACTATGAATATACAGATGGAAATGAGTAATTTTTGTCCCTAACTGTACAACATGCCGCAGCACTCATATGATCAGGAAATCTAACTACAAATGAGAACGGGGTGTCGCTCCGTTGGCTACGGCTGCGAGTGTGCAGCTAGCCTGCCAGGGTTCAAGTCTTGGCTCAACCCCTGGTGCTTAGGTTGTTTCTTCTATATAAAATAATGCCACCGAGGGCTAGTCCAGGTTGGTCTCATTTTTTTTATCTAACTACAAATGCCTCGTGCGACAAAAGCTCACACATATTTTTAAACATAGCCCTATGATCAATTTTGCTGCAAAGATAATAATTATTTCTCCTGCCATAAGGCCCATAACTTGGTGACTTTCCCAACTCAAAATGATGGAATGCACGCATGTTCACACATGAAAAACAAATGGCTCTTGCTTTCATGAGATTTACATTTATCTAATTGTACAGATAATATGACCATCAGAAGATAACCTAAACACCAACAGGCGCTACAAGGATTATAATGGGCAGAACATAACTTGGCTGCATCCGCATTGATGACCATTTGCTAAAATAAGTAGCATGACAAGGGATGCTACCATCAAACACTGCATCATATGATCATATCACAATGTATGTCCTACCATATGGCATATGCAAAATACAAGCAAAGACTGGGAACAAGCTTACTAACCACTTCAAACAGTTGGTGGCGTCAAGGATGGTGGGAAACCAGCATACAGAGGGGCACCCCCAATCATGTACTTATTTGCACAGAACCACTCAAGCTGCAATGTCTGGAGATTCAGTGAAAAACAGTCCAAATCTGGTCTTTCCGGCAAAGGGGCCGAATGCAGGTTTTCTGGAATCCCTTGCAGGAGTAAGTATCCCCCAGCTACATCCATGATCATATATCGGTAACCCAAGGGCAAGGAGATTATCGCCACCGGATGCCATTTGTTTGCACCATCTCCATCTTTTTGCAACTTGGTATAGCGAAGGAAATACCTATCATTATCAATTCGATTCATGAGAGTAAACATCCCAAGCCTTCCTTCCCCTGCCTCTACAAAAGCCATCATTGGGATCATCTGGCCGGGGACATGTTGACGTGGGAGGTCGACAGCAGAGAACTCCATCGTGCGCGTGTCAAGCATGAGCAACTTGTTGGACGGAGAAACAGCCCAACAGAAGCATTTGTGCACATAGTAGCGCTCTGAGGCCCATGTCAAGTGAGCGTCTGGAACCTGGTTGCCAGGACTTGTCACCAAAGCGATCCAGCCGTCAAATGTAACAGCATGCCATTCGCCGGCACCCGAAGAGAAGACGAAGAGGACCAGCTTGGTTGTGCACTGCGCCAGGCACATTACTCTGAATGAAGTAGGGTCTTCAACATCGCCAGGAGGAGCAAGGAAGGGCTCGAAGTTGACGATATCCGGCTGATGAACTAGCACCGCTAGTTCGTCGGAAATGGGAGGTAGCAGACGGTAGCGCCGGTACAGGGGATCGCAGACAACGAACTCCCCGACGAAGTCGCGGGGATCGTAATCGCCGGGAGCGTAGCTGCTCCCCTCAGGGATGCCAGAGAAGAGGGCGCGACCGTCACGGAAGTCGCGGTGGCGCCATCGCTGCTCGACGGAGGGGAGGAAGGAGCACCAGAAATCGACCTCCGCGGCGGCGAAGGCGCGGGCGGCGGCGGCGGAGGGATGGGGATGCTGGGCCGGGCGGAAGGTGGCGGAAATTATGCCGAGGAGAGGCGGCGGGTGGAGGGTGCGGAAGCGGCGGAGGAAGGAGTGGTCGGTGATGACGCGGCGCAGGGTGGGGCAGGCCGTCGAGGCGCGGGCGAGGTCGGCGGCCTCGGTTAGCCGGAGGAGGATTTCCTCGAGGAGCTCGTCCTGGAGCGCCGGCTGCTCCGGCGGCGTGGCTTCGACGTCGCCCGGCGGCGCCATCGGGGTGGGGGCTGGGGACTGGAAATGCAACAGGCTGAAGCGGATTTGGGGATTTAGGTTTCTGTACCTTGCAAATCTCAGCGCTCCGACAAATGGGCCAGACCGCTTGTAGTGAGTCCTAACCAAACGTGTACCGGTCCAGGCCCATTAACACCACCAATGAGCGGATACAAGTTGCATTAGTCTGCAGAAGAGGTGATGATGGACGATATTTGGGAAGTGATCGGCAGCTAGCTACGAAGCAATCATACATGAAATCAAGGAACATTGTGTATTCCCAAAAAATTCATTGTGTATTAAAACGTGTCCATCGTGTATTAAAATGTTCCAAAACAGTGTTCATGTATACATACTAAAATGTTCTTGTAAATAGAAAAGTGTCTACATAACATTGTGTATTCCAAAAAACTCATTGTGTATTAAAACGTGTCCATCGTGTATTAAAATGTTCCAAAACAGTGTTCATGTATACATACTAAAATGTTCTTGTAAATAGAAAAGTGTCTACATACTTCATAATTATATTTATACATAATTAAAAAGGTGTTCACGTATTTAATTTGTTCCATATAATTTGAAATTGTTCATGACTTAAATAAATTTCATGTATTTTTTAAGTGTTCACACATTAGCAGAAACTGTTTAGCATGTTAAAAGGAAACTTTCACACATAACAAAATATTTTCGTAAATATAGAAAAATATTCATTTATTTAGAAAAAATGTTCAGTGTGTCAAAAAACGGGTGTGAAAAGAGCAAATAGAGAAACGAAGGAACAAAGAAATAATAAAAGAGGAAATAAAAGAACACCAAAAGGAAAGGAAGAACAAAAACGTGAATGAAAAAAATTCAAACGTGTGACTTAACGTAAGCAAATACTCCCTCTCTTCCTTTAGATAAGGTGTATCTTTTAGAATTGCTAGCATCCTAGCATGCTAGCACTACCATCTTTTTAGAATCGCTAGCACTACCAAAGTGATAAATAGAACATACTCCCTTTGTTTTGAATAATTGAGCATTATCGAAACAAGCATTAGATTGTTGAACCTAGTCATGCCATCGAGAACATAAGAAACATGTATCATATCCATTTTTACGATTGCTACTAGCAGCAAACCAAATGCTAATCCTAACAGAGAGGATAACATGACATACGGAGCAGTGGAACAAGATGCAGAGACCCCGTTCGTCATGTCGCCGAGGAGGTAGTCGATGTCTAGGAAGAAGTCGTTGTCGAGGAACTCATCGTCTGGGATGTCGATTCTCGCAACCATGATGAAGTAGAATCCGACAGTCGCGCTAGGGCACTCCCCCAAAGCCTGATTACCCCTCTCTCGTACCGGATCACAAGAGGCAAGATTTCGGAAGCCTGTTGTGTCACTCCTCGGTGCACGCTGAGAAGCGAGATGGGAAAGTGGTAGGCGGCGCAAAGCTTATAACCAGAGGTAGGAGATGAAAGGAAGATGAGCGGCCTAAGGAGACGAAGAGAAAATCATTCAAGTCCGTTCAGATTCGTCACCCACTAGCAAGCGAAATGTTTCAATTCCTTTCTTGCGTGACAAAATATAAAGTAGCACATACACATGGGATAGGTCATAGCGCGTGCGAGGTGTGGTGTGGCGGGCGGCGGCAAAGGAGAACGTGTGTATATGCTCTTTTCTCAAGCTCTTAGTGGTATGTGTAACAACTTTCTTTATAAGTTGGTCTAGAGCATCCTTCACTAGCGGCTGGCTTTGTGCGACTACCGAGCAAATCTATCTGTAGCACTCTACAGTCTACACCTTTTCACTCGCTCCACCCAGTATATAAAACTGGATCTTCGAAATTTCAGGATATGGTCGCGATTACCACCCAGACCCAGGCCGTGGCTTCCATATCATAATAAATACTTCCTCCGTCCCATAATATAAGAACCTTTTTTACATATCTTATATTATGGGAGGGAGGGAGTACAAAGCTATTTTTTTTTCTAGTCTAAAGCTGGTTGACGAGCAGGGAAGCGCCGACCGTGGACACACACCTGAGCCGACCTATTCACGAGCCATCCTTTTACGCGGGAATGACGCCGCCCTTTGTATGTGCTGACAGGGAGCGTCCCCTTGGCCGATCTTTTCCCTGGTGTCCAGCCTACTTCGTCAACATCGACTCCGCTCCACTGAGCCGGCAGCAAAGCACGTGACCTCGATCGTCTCCTCGCTGAGATGGCCGGCCGCACTATCTCCAATAATGCCTAGCTGATCGCTTCCGCTAGCATATTTTTAGAACAAAAGGCCCTCAGGCTATACGTTCATGTCATTGAAAAATAAGACCAAGGTAAGGTGGAGTATCTGTGTCAGTTGCCCTCGCCCCTCGCGCACTCACGATTCCCTTTCCGTGCAAAAAGTTCGCATATTCCCTGCCCAATTTAACCACCCTAACCGCGTCTGTCGAATGTCCCATCCTATGTGTTAACCGGTCGTCCGGGCGGTCACCGGCGATGGCTGCAGCTGCAACATATATAAGTCATCGGTGCCACTCTCTCGCAGGCCGGACACACACGCGCGAAGAGGAAGCACGATGGGGATGGCGGCGGCGCTGTGGGACGCCCTGGGGAAGGCCGCCAACCTGGCGCAGATGTCCGGCCTGCACGCCGTGATGCTAGTCGCGGCGGGCGCGAGCATCATGCGCATCCCGCAGAGCAGGCGGGAGTGCGCCAAGCTGGAGCGGTGCAGCCGCAGGCTCCATGCGCTGCTCAAGTGGCCGACGGGCTGCGGCGCCGCGCTGCTCTGCTCGGAGCTGGGAGGCCCCGTGGTGCAGGCGCTCGTCGACGCGGCCAGCCTTGTCGACTCCTACCACCGGAGCACGCTCTGGCGCCGCGTCCGGAGCGGCAGGAGCATGGCGATCCGGCTCCGCGACATGCGGGACGTCATCGACTCCTACTGCGTGCTTCTGCTCTTCATCAACGCGCATCTCCTGCTACGACATGCAGCTACTAATCATGATCAGCCCCCGCCGCCGCCTACGTACGTGTACGTGAGATGCAAATTATGTTCTATCCGTCGATGCAACTCTGTCGGATGCGGGCTACGTAATCATCCCTCCGTCCCGAATTACTTGCCGCATAAATGGATCTATCTAGATGTAGTTTTAGTCCTATATATACATCCTTTCTACTATTTCTGCAACAAGTAATTCGGGATGGAGGGAGTACTTACTTACGCCTAATTACGTCTCTGATACTATCATGTTGATTTGATTGGTGACGCAGGATTGTTGATGTGAATGATTCATCTGAGAATCAAAGTGTACAAGCGGAGAGCAATTGTACCGAAGTCGCAGCAGGTCATGATACTCAAAGGGCGAACGGTACTGGCGATGGAGGTATATGAAGTCAGACAGAAGCGTGCCTGCTCTAGTGATGATTTCCCATGTATAATGTACAGGGGTTAGGGAGGAGACGTGTCCCAATAGGATCGATGGTTAGTAGTGGATTCTCAGGCGAATTAGACCCTTATTAGAACCCTAGTCTTGTCATTTGCTGCAAAGTGAAGAATGCAACATCTGTGTACATTATGTAAAGGTCAGAAGCTTGGAAGTTGGTTCGCCGTGCTCCTGCCCCTCCGAACACAGTACCGGAGCATGAAAAATGTTACACATGTACTTGAAAAATGTTAACCGTGTATAAAAATAATATTTCAGATGTGTACAAAAACTGTATAATGTGTATGAGGCATCAAAAACATATAAAATTGTAAGGTTGATTAATTCAGATTTGGTCTTTATAGATTGATAGGTAATTATTCGTGCGTTGCAATGGGGATATACATTGTTAAAGCGCTGACATGGCAGCGAAAACAAGCCAACTGACCATTTTATTGTCGAAGGAGGATACACGAGAATTCTCTGGGAATTAATATTTCCATACATATCCACCTCATGCTTTTTTTCTTCCCGCTCATGATTTTCTCTGCTTCTAGTGAAAAATAACTCATCCTGTGATTTTTATAACTAAGATGAAAAGATAGCAAAACAAAGAAACGGGAAAGCAAGGAAGATGTATCTCTCTTTCAAACCAGGCAAGCACTTTTCCATTAAAATCAAAAACAACAATAAGCAGTACCATTACATAGCAGAGGGGATAGGAACGAGGGATGCAAGTTGAAGTATATACTCTTTTTTGTCTAAGCAGTTGCTTGGACATAAATTTAGTATACATGTAGGCCATTAAACTGCCCGTCTAAATAATAATTGTAACACCCTAACTAAATAACCTCAATCCAACGTGCTGGTAACCAACCCACATTCAAATATTGCTCTACCTCATGCTCATTAGCGAGAGCGTCTACCCAACCGCTTTTGATATTAAAATATTCTGATTTTGGAGGATGGAAGTTGCAAACCACCCCCGCTCCTAGCCGCCGGTCGCCACTCCGGCCCCGGCATCCACGCAACACTCCGGTGGCCACTCCGGCCCCAGCGTCCACGCATCATCCTCTCTCAACAAGAGGAGCTAGGAGGCGCGAGCTCACCGCCGTCTGCTGATCCGGCGACGGTGGACACCACCCCGTCGTGGGCCGCTCGTGCCCGACGTCCACCCACACCTGAGCTCCGCCGCCTGCTTGAGGTTTAGGTCAGGACTAACGGCTTCCGTCGTCCTTCCGCTGGTCTTCAGGTCAGTTCTTCGTAGTGCATGTTCTGAACTGCAGCCCAACCTTGATGCATGCTTGCCACCCTGGCGTCTTGTTGCTCTCCTTGAGGTCTAGCTTTAGGGTTCTCTAGGTCTTTCTGGCTTGTTCCATGGATGGTTATTGGTTTGAGGATGCCATGATGTCCAAGTATGGCTGCGGCACCATCTCGATGGTGGCTGGTCGTTGCCGGCCGGCCTTGGTGCTCGCTGTCGTCCTCAATGACGGAGTAACGTTCTCACCCACGGCTTTTGCATCACTCTTGGTCACTTGGTTCGGGGGTTGTGC